GGCCACCAGAGACAACAAAAATTGCAGCGTAACGCTCACCAATGTAGACAAACCGATTTCGTGTCCACTGGGCCAGCCGCCTCCCGAGCCACCAGCAATCATCCAGTCGTTGTACATGGTCTCGTCCTCCCACTCTTCGGCTCTCAGCACCCGTGACCGGCTGGCCTTTTACTCGGCCGCTGTATGTGGTCGTAGTGGCCCACTCCCGGGAAAGCACACGCACTCTCGTGCTGTGTTTCAGAGTCTTCTCGCCAAGATTAGGCTAAGCTTATTTTTCTAAGACGTGTGGGGACAACAACTGCAGCCTATCCCAGCCCTGAAGAGCTGCCCTGGTCCTCCAATGCAGGCGATACGCACTGGGATGCCAGCTCTTCAGCTTGCTGATTGGCCCCCTCAGATTGTCCCAGCCATTCGTCTTTCGATCCTGTTGCTCTCCTGCTCCTACCCGTCGACAGTCCAATGGGCGTAGAGGGAGCGAGAGGAACGACGACGAGAATAGAAACAGCCTTGCTGGCCGCATCAATCTTCGCCCGGTGGGCCGTCCGTTACAATGGCCTTCTACCGAGCCTACGGGACATCGGTCGTACGTCGGTGGATACCACTCTCGGCCTCAACACTTTCCTCGGCGGCTCCGTAGCAGAAACAGATCTATGGTCGTCCAGTCCGCTGTACAGACAGGATGTCGACAGATTGGTACAGATCTCGGCGGGCCACATATGGCGACCTCATCTTGGTGATGATGGCAATCTTTCAAGTTTCAAAATTTAGATGCCTGCCAGCGGTAGTCAAGAATGTTTCAAGATGTTGATGTTGACGAGAGCGACCAATGATGGGCTAAATTCCGACGAATCACACGAACATGAGCTCCAAATCCGTGTTGCTGAATCCAGTAGTGCCTAAAAGATTGGTTCTGAAGAAGGCCTCCAAGCCGTACTGAGCGCTCCACGATGCTCTCTAAGACAATGGCATAACCATTGTCCTCGTCACAATTAGCATCAGGAATGAAATGGTTCACCGCCGATCCTATCACACTGGAAAGGTGAAACACCGAAGAAGAATAAGAGCCATCTTGTTTGAAGTAGTTGAAACACTGACATCCAAAACAAGCGGACTCAAAATCATCATCACAGTATGTGCTTCGAGCACCAATGCGCCATGCGCTGCTTGATTGCCATTGGTGTTCCTGGATCATGCAGACCCTCAATGCGGATGCAAATGCAATGGCATCACCTTCTATGCTGCACTTGGTCTGGTGTGCCAGCCATAATGCACGGCGGAGCAGAGAACCAGGTGAGCAAGCTGGCAAAAGCCCAGCGCACAGCAACGCATCTCCGAGCAGGCTCAGTATAGGGTGGCTGAAGACGATTGTTGCCCTAAGAGATGAGGAATTTGAAGCACACCATCACAATGTCATGCATCAGCCGAAACAAGCGCCCGATGTGAGCCCGCCCGTTCCGGGGCGACTTCTGGCTAGTCAGGAACATGAAACACGAACTGGCATGTCACATCTTTTTCCAGAACCTCCACAGCCAGCACGTTATGTAAGGTGACAACGGCGTTGCGGCCTCGCAAATCCATGAACAGAACCCACCACGCACAGAGCCAGGGGTCATTTTTGCTGAGTAGCACCCAGGTTGACGATCTCTGACAAGCCTGGCTCGAGCTTTGAGGGACCCTCGATGTGTTTGAGATTAAGTACGGACGCACCTAACTACTCTTCTTGTCTAGCTGCACCGAGCAGCAGCCCGCCACCACGGCAGAGCAAAAGCAGACAAGCGGGTCGGCTGGTAAAGTGCAAGGAGGAAACGAACGCACGCGCCTGCAAAGGTTCGTCCGCCTTTCCCGTCAGCTATTCCCGCTCGCATGCATTCCCAGTAGGGTTTCTGGAAGAAGGGAGTAAGTGAAGGGATTCAGCATCCGCATGACACAGGAGGTTGATGCCGCTGTCAACAAAGCTATCTCAATCTGTACATACTTCTGCCAAGAAGGCGAAGAGGCATGTTTGGCAAATGGCAGGCGGTACTAGGTTACGTTCGAGCGAAGATCAACGACTTATGGAGAAAGAGGCTCAATCGGCCCTAGGTCGGCAGGTGCACTGATCAATATCGACCATGCCATGTTCCCAATGCCTCACAGATATCATCAGCCCTTGGGAGTGCATCCTATCTTATCGTGGATGCTGCGTTTCATCTTCTACCGCCATTTCTTCCACCAAAGAGTTCCAAGACTTTCTCGGAGACTTACCCGTGTGTAACCCTCGCAAAGTTGGCTTGCGCCATATGATATGGGACCCCCTGTGCTGGCCTCTTAGCCTGCTATCCGTGGGCTTTGACTCCACCTACTATGCGGCTGCCAAAGAAGAGATTCTGAAACACTGGCATACTACGCAGCATACCCGCCCGTCCCTGCTCGTCACCTACTGGGCTCTGTGCCACAACGAAATAGGAAATTCGTCATTGACCGGTTCATTCTCAATCTCAGCAAGGAAATCCAAGGCGAGTTGCGATGCGAATTGTGGGACGAAGTAGACAGGGTGTCTACTTACGCGAGCTTGCTCAATATCCACGTTGGGGCTCTCGATCAGGAATTTTGTGAGATCACACGGCTTCCCCGGTGGCTGAACATGTTCATGATAAATCGAGATACCTCTGCCCCTTGCTTGTCGCCACAACCGGACAGAGCAAGGACAAGGCATCCCCAACGCTACACCCTCCCCGGCTTGCTCCTGCCGACCAGCCTGGTCTAGAGTGCCTGTCCTTGCTCCGAATATCAGCGAACTCTTCACCAGGGCTCAAGAAGATCGACCGCTGAAACCATAGGGTCTCGCTGGGGATTCTCCTGATTGGCACACATCTCTGGGCATGAAGGCTCAAGCCGCTCGGACATGGTCCAGCTCCAGTCAGGCGAATCCTCGGGACGTCCGCCACTTGCCTACCATGAAGAACAGTGGATAGATGATGACAGGTCTCTCTTCCGAGTGACTGGAGCGTCCTCTTCCCACCAACAGCATGACAAAAGGGTCTCCGTTGCACGTGGCAAGCAGAAGTTGCCTCCCGAATACGGCCAGGACTTCATGCGTCCCTATGCCGGTACAGGAGGCACCAGGGAGATCATCACCTAAAGCTACCAGCAGTCCACACTTGGATGCTGCCGTTCGCCCAGAGCACTCCGCCGATGTGATCCATCGGAAGATCCTTCTCCTTCTCCACCTTGCCATGACGAGGTCGACTAGGGATCAACCGTGGTAGGACGCTGCTAAATTCTCCGAAGATTCCCTCGCCTCGTCACATCTGCCTGAAGCATGATCGTGGGTCTCCGTTGGAGCAGGGCCCGGGGGCCACACTTTGCCTAAGCTATGACATGAGGCTACCCAGTTGCAAAGCTGCCCTGCTTGAGTGGGCATGTAAGCATGACGAATGCTCTTGAGTGCTTTGACGTCCCTTCTCTATGATCCCTACCAGCATGGAAGAACTCCTGTGCTGCATATCGTAACTATGGTAGCGATTTGTTGTCCGTCCTCTTGCTCTGGTTCCAAAGACGCCGTTGTTCTCATCTCCTTACCATCGTATATCTAAACATGACACTACGTAGAGACATTGCTCACTCCGAATGGGTGGGTTGTTAAACTACGTTTCTGGGCGTATTCAAACCTCCTATACGTATTACACGTTGATTTCAGTGCGTGTCAAGAAAGCTGGACTTTGCACGCAGCAATTTTGGGCTCCTTACGTTGACATGATGCAAAGCCAAAATGATCAATCCCCTTTTCTCACAGTTACTGCAAGTTCAGAGAATCCTGAACATCAACACTTAGAGGCTTAAACCCACGGTACCACTTCAACAGTACAAAACTTTGTTTTGCTGGTATAGAACTTGAAGCCTCAAGAGTTAGCTACCTAGGCCGATCAAATTTGACATACATGTACGATATCGCAATGTTCTATACCTTCGTGTCCTTCGCGAAATCACTTCACGTCATGAGCTGTTCGGGCTTGTGAATAACTAATAATGTACTATTAATCATAGAGTTTACTGGATACGGACACTACCACTCCTCTAATGGGAACCGCTGAGTAAATATTTCTATATATCAAGTGATATGAAGGAGTGCCACCTGGAATCCTTGGTTTGGTAATAAGGGGCGATGCTGAAAGCGGGAGATGATTGTCATGAGGCATTCAATTGTGATGCTCGATCTAAATGCTACCAATGCTCTTTTCTAGGATTTTGACGCCTTCCCTGACCTTGGGACAATAATGCCTTCTCAAAATTTCGCCTTCCCAGACGGTTGTGGCAAATGGATTGCTTCCTTCGACAGAATCGCTCAAAGGATTGTACGTTCCATCCCCTTTCCTCTCCTCTGTATTCCAAAGTGCCCCAATTTTCTTGCCATGTGTATGTGTCACGTCGTTGACCAGAGCTAGGACGGCCTGACATGACTTCTCTGGCATATGTAGTGCAATGGACATCAGCTGCTTGGTGAAGGCGGCCAAACGCAAGGGGGGAACGGAGCGGATATTCCATGGGGGTAGCAATACCGCAGTTAGACATCTGACCAAGAGGACGGTCATCGTCTGAATGTTGACCTTGTTCGATCTTCGCTGGGCAGCCTCCGGGCTATCTGGATCCGGAAGATGTAATGACTTCGCGCCAAGTTCCAAATCTGCATCGACAGACAAGGGAAGCAGGCTTCTGAACAGATGAGTCGTGAAGTAAGACAAATCCAGATGCAAGTCTGTACGTGCGTTGTGTGCATCCTGGCCTGCAAGGAGAGCAAATGCAGTCACAGTGCAGAGTAGTGCTTCACGGCTTGGATTCCGAACGGCGGTCAGGTTGTCATCTTCCTCGTCATCATCCGCTTCCTCAGTCTCCTCAGCATCCTCGTCGCTGTGACGGATCAAGTCCTTGAGAGCCTCTAGAAGATCGCCGAAGAAGTCTTGATTAATCAAGTGAGAGTATTTCGCGAGTCCTTCGAGGACAGCACCCATTAGATGAGGTGATCTTGCTTTTAGGATGCGAAAGTATGTGGCAAATACCAACTTCAGCGTCTCGGACTGGTTGCGATCACGTTCCTCGTAGCTGACCATGGCATCTGCTGTGGCCATATCCTTGGCGAGCGCTTTTTGCTCTTTCAACTGCTTTCGCGCCCGCTTCGTCCGAAACTCCCTTTTTTGCTTGAGCCTCTTTCCGTTCGAACCAGTGGGGTGCTGGTCCTCATCATCGTTCGTTGCCCTGCTCGATAATTCAGACAAAAGTCGGAGGTGGAGGAACGTGTTGAGAACGCTTTCGTCAACCTCATAGTCTCGAGCTTTTATCATTTTTGATAATAGCGAAACGGCCTCCATAGATGATCCTCCGTCCTCATCTTCCCGGAACAGAATCTCCAAGGCCTCCCGACATTTGACAAAGTCTTCATCAACCCGTCGATGACTGAGTTTGCCTACTAAAATTCGTAGGAGGTCACCTCTGAAGTTGAAGTGGGGAACTGCTTTCAGGAGATTGCAAGCACAAGTGATGGCAACGCTTGCTATGCTCTGTGCCATTTTGTCGCCTCTGGAGACCTTCACAAGTTTGGCCAACTCTTTGATATATGCCTGATAGCCGAAGACAAGTGCCTGCTCATAGGCGCGAACTCTGCGGACCTCTTTGGAAAGTTTCTCCCCCGAGACGTCTTCCGATTGCGGCCGTATTCTGTACATTGGAATGACATCTTTGTAGACAGCCATCTGGGTTGCAAGACATAGCTTTTTGATGGCCGGAATATTTGATTCTCCAAGTTTGGCCAAAGCCTTGAAAGCGCCGGGATTCTCCTCTGGCTCCTCGTTTAACTGCGAGCCAATCTTGGCTAATTCCTCCTGTGCCCTTAGGATCTGCTCCCGTTCTGGAATTTTCGGTTGCTCCTGGGGTTTTTCGTCCGTCTCTGGCTCGTCAACATCCTCCTCGCCGCCCTCGAGCCACTCGGCATCACTGTCTATAGAGACAACATCATCTCGAAGAGGTGCTACATGCTGAATATGACCGTCTGCTGTCTTGATCGGAAGCCTGCTGCTTTCCTTGTCCTTCTTGCCTTTTCTTGGTCGATTCTCATAGTCTTGCTCGAGATTCCAACTCGCCGCATTCTTGAAGAACGCCTTTTGGACTTTGGCCGTGGATGCATGGTCATCATCTGAGGGTGGAGGTGTTAGCTTCCGCCGCTTAGAGGGCCGAGAAGCCATTTCAACCATCACTCAAGAAAAGCTCTCGAATTTGAAGGATGAGTAGTGGTGTATGAGAGTCAAGAGTCGGAACGTGTGTGAAAATTTACTGAGTGAGGTAGGGGAGGATCTTTATCAGTAGCAATGCTGATTCGCCTATTACTTTATCGGGATCCACTAAAAAGTCGAGAAACAATTTTTGCTTCAGAAGCTGCCCCGCGAAACTCGCACACCTCCCATTGCTTCAGACTTCACCAAACGTCGTGGCCGTTCTTCACTAACACAATCGGCCAGGCGTCACGGAAGAAGGAAGGTAGCGATGGCGACTTCTCTCGCGGCGCAGTTGGCGCAGATTGCCGCCAACTCTAAAAGCACTCTCAATGTTAAGGCGCAGCGTGCAGCGCATTCGAAGTCCTTGATCTTTGAGCCTCGGATCGCCGCAGGTCAGAACTACCAGTCTGTCTGGTCTCTTTGTCACGAAGGCTTCGAGGAGTTGTGCCAGCTGGACAGCCGGTTTCTGCAGTTTGCGACTACTCTTTTCAGCGAGCAGAGTCAGGAGGAAGACCGGACCCAAATGACGGCGGCTGAAAATGCTGAGCTCGATAAAAGGATAGAATCCTTCCTGCGCTTGGCCGGCGGCCGGCTGAGGCTTATGCCAACTATCAAGGCAGTCGAGTGGTTGATTCGACGCTTCAGGTATGAGTGATAGTCTTTCTATCTCGTTAACGCTGTTCTAACTCAAGCTTTTCAGGATACACGAGTATAACACTGCGATTCTTCTAACGACATTCCTGCCGTACCATTCGATACCAGTTTTCGTTACCTTGATGTCTATCCTACCATCCAAACTACCACACGAGTACAGGTTCCTAGACCCTTACATTCGATCTCTTACCAGTCCTCCTCGGGCGACCATCGTTCATCAAGCCACACACCACTTCGAGTTTCTCTCGATCATATCCGCGTATACCCTAGAGTCCTGTCGCACCCAGCAGCATTACCAAGCTCTCATCTCTTTCTGGGGTGGCATCATGGCGGAGGCCGTCAATGGCATGGTGGATAATCTGAGGTCTGGTCGGAGGAGCATCCAACAAGACAACGATCAAACGCTGCTGCAACAAATAGCACCAATCCTGGCTGACTCCCTAGTGATGAAGAAGGTGCCGCCCTTGCAGATTGCAAGTTACATGGTGATTGCAGTACTTGCTTCAAAGGCCAAATTGGACGACGTTGCTCTTACCGCCTTTATGGACCAACTGGTTTTTGGGTGGACAAACGAGACTGTACGGCCCGGAATAGTATGCCTGTCCATTCTCGCACAATATCGATCGGCGAAACAGCTCCCCAGTAAGGTTACGAAAGCGCTGCTCAAAATCCAAGATCTGCAGCTGCTTCTGCTGGATATGTGGAAAGAACATAGGGTAGACAGGCTTGCCAACGGGTTGGTGCTGGCTTTGATCGACAGACTTACGAAGAAAGGAGACACCCGTGGCCTACCGATCATAAAGACAATCTTGGCGGAGGAAATGCTTCCCGAGAAACAAACGATCGTCATTTTCAAGATGTTGATTGTCGCTGCCCATAAGATCGACGGCGAGGTTGACCAGGAGGGAAAAGCGAGAAAACAGCTTGGCCTGGCCCTAGTTCAGCTTTCCCAATCCGCTGGACAAGGAGGCGAACTTTTCAGGAAGGTAATAGAAGATGTCGACTTTGATATCGAGGAATTGGAATTGAAATTAGGCGCTTCTATTCAGCCTAGGAAAACCCTAGAGGAAGCGCCAAAGGATGCTACGATGGAGAATGGTGTCGAGTCAACCCAGCAGGTTGAAGATCTTGAGTCTGCACTTACTCGGCTGACAACGAAAGAAAGCGCGCTGTCGACTTGTTTGTCAGCCACTGCCGATGCCGTCTTCGACGAAATTTCACAACTATTTCTCTCTATCGCATCAGAGGACTCAGATCTCAAGACATTCGACGAGGCGCCATTGCTCCACCGTGTGCCCGCGCCGTCAACTTGCTTCTATTTCACCTTTTACATGCGACTGTGGCTCGGCCCTTATCCTACGCTCGCCCGTGTTAGAGCTTTGGAGCTTGCCAAAAGCCGTGCGAAAGAGCAAGACTGCGCAAAAGTAGATTTGCAGGCACTTCTGCCTTATGCTATTGCTGCATTGAGCGATCCAGCAAAGAAAGTCCGTCGAGCAGCAGCCGACCTCATCACAGTTTTAGGAGAGCAGCAAGGCAACGCAAGATCCAAGAAACCGATCTGGGGCTCAAAGAACCTATATGATGATACCAAGGGGATGAACTGGCTAAGCGCCGAAGCTAGCCAGGTCTTTCTCCAAACAATTCTTCTACCGGCGTTAGAGGAGTCAATCTTACACGAAGACCACATGTCTGCTGTTCTGAAAAACTCACTTGACAGTTCTAAGAGGCTATCAGTTTCCGAGATGGAGTCATCAAAGAAGAATCGTACGTCACACGCTGTTCGGCTCTCTATACTGAGCTTCCTTGCTTCACACGTTATCAAGACGCCTCTTATTGTCCTGAAAGTCAGGCTATTGAAGGCTTTGAATCAAATACGAGGTGTATCCAGCACCACTAGAACAGAATTGTTACTGCCTGCTCTGCAATGGTGGTCTAATCTAAGCGTCGATGAGGCGAAGGAAGTAATAACCCGAGAGACTGCTGACGAGTCTTTACTGGACTTGAGCTCTGTTGATATCGTTGTTGCGAACGATAAAGCCGGCCTGGATTGCTTTTTTGAGATTGTTGAGGGTCCAGTAGGCGTCAATCGGGCTCAGCTTGTTCGTGCCATTTTCTCTAGGATACGGAGAATGTGGCCGTCCATGAAGGATGACGCAAAATTGTTCACAGCGCAGCGAATGCTAGACTTGTCTCAACGATCGACTGCTTCACCGGAACAAGAAGTTGCTTCGGTAGAGGCAGCAGACCTTCTAAGGAATGTAGATTTGACTACCGACATCCTACTCTACTTCTTGGAATCCTTGCAGGACACGGCGCGGATGGCAACCGAGCCACCAGCAAACAAACGCAGACGAACGAGCTCTTCAGATCACCACCGTGGCATTGACAACCAGAATTCTCAGGAGCTTAGCCACGCGCTTCGTAAAGTCACGTTTGTACTTCAGATTGTTGAAGCATCCAAACCGGCAGAACACCCCCAACTCCTTCAAGGTCTTTTCATAACGCTATCCGATCTCCAACTTTTAAGGACACTGGTTGGTTCTGAGTTGGGATATCTACAGAATCTTGTGCTCAGCAGCCTTCTCGCGATGATGCCAGCTTATAGAGACAACAGAGATCTCAAGATCGATACTTCTGTTGGCCATGGCGATGTTCTTGTCAATTGTATCCAGAAGTCATCCAGTCCTGCGGTACAGAACTCCGCTCTCTTACTTGTTGCCAGCTTGGCTAAAACAGCTCCGGATGTCGTTCTTCACAGCGTCATGCCCATCTTCACTTTCATGGGCAGTTCAGTCCTTCGACAAGGCGATGACTATTCGGCTCATGTCATCAACCAGACGATCAAGGAGGTCGTGCCTCCACTGATCGACACATTCCGCAAGGGCAGGCGAAATGTTGTTGCAAGTGCTTCGGAGCTGCTATCAAGCTTTGTAGTCGCGTATGAACACATTCCCTCTCACCGAAAACACGATTTATTCATTTCCCTAACCGAGAATCTTGGGCCGCAAGACTTTCTCTTTGCTCTGGTCGCCATGTTTGTGGATAAATATGGCACTTCAGATAATATCTTGTCCTTCTCGTCCGAGTTGATGGGTTCTTTTAGTGTCGAAACTCAGCTTCTGTCATTAGTTAAGTTCTTGGACCTTTTGGCAGACATGTTCAAGCCCAAGCCAAGTCTTTCTGCAACTCTCTTCTTCGGGAAGAATGAGGCCGAGGATACCGTGAACAAGACTGCGCTTAAGGAGCTCACCCTCCTGCCTTATATTCTTGCCAACCGCACTCTAAAGAAGGAGATTGGCGAGTTGGCTGAGCGTGACGATATGGAAGCCGCCAAAATTCGAGAGTTATATGCACAACTCTTGGAAGATCTTTTGACTTTAGCTGATATAGTCAAGTCGAACCCGTCTCTCCATAGCAAGTGTGGCGACGCCCTCTCTAACCTCTTGAATTTATTGTCGATTGGAGAATTCATCAAAGCCGTCGAGACACTTCTTGATAGACCCAAGATTAATCTCCGACATAAGGTTTTGCGAGCACTGGAAGTGCGCATCGAGAACGAAAGCATGGCCGATTCGAGGTCGAGGACTGCACTTCTAGCTTTCTTGCCGCAACTTACTGCTGTTATTCGAGATTCAGATGACATGCACTACAAGCACACGGCTGTGGGCTGTGTTGACAAGATCTCCGAGAAGTATGGCAAGAAAGATCTGGAGGCAGTGGCAGCTGCTGCTTCGACCATCGCTGGAGACCAATGTCTTGGTCAAGCAGACCAGCGCCTGCGTGTTATGGCACTTCTGTGTCTTGCTTCTTTGGTTGATGTCTTGCAAGACGGCATTGTACCGGTCTTACCTGCTGCCATTCCCAAAGCCCTCAATTACCTCCAGCAATCTATGGCTGGCCTCGATTCTGATGTCGAGATACATAATGCTTGCTACAGCTTCATGACCGCCCTGGCGCAGTATCTTCCGTATATGATTTCTGGCTCTTACCTTGATCAGCTTCTTGCAAGCTCCAATATGTCTGCGGAAGCAGGCTTGGATGATGAATGCAATGGTAACCGCCGTCAATGCCTTCGATTCTTGGCCAAACAGCTCGACGCCAAGGTGATATTCTCGGCATTGCAACAAAACTGGACCAAAGCTGTGGAGGCTGGTTACTCGGTATGTTACATTCGTCGTCATTTAATCTCTATGCTAACAATATCTAAAGGCTGTCAAAGAGTTCATTGAGATTCTCGGAGTGGCCATTGATAAGCACAGCAAGGCGGCTATCGCAAAAAACGTGACAGCTTTGTCTACTATCTTCTTGAACGCGTTCGACCTTCGCCGACAGCAGCATCTGAAGGGAGAAGTATCCACGCCAACACTGGCGGCTATTTCAGAGGTTGAAACATCGATTAACGAGACCGCCCTCAAGATGATCTATAAACTTAATGACGCAGCATTCCGGCCCATTTTTGCGCAAATCGTAGAATGGTCTTCGTCGACTCAGCCGAAGGTTGATGCCGCAGGGCTTCTCTTGAGACAACAGAGTGTATATGGCTTCCTATACACATTTTTCGACAACCTCAAGTCGATTGTGACTAGCTATACGTCGTACATTGTTGACAATGCGGCCAAGATCCTCAAGGAAACTATTCCCAAGGACGCCGAAAGCAAGGCATTGTGGAGGACAGTGTTGAGGACACTCACAAAAAGCTTTGAGCATGACCAGGATGACTTCTGGCAGGCTCCGTCTCACTTCGGTGCGATCGGACCGCTCCTTGTGGAGCAGTTCTCGCATGCCGGGCTCCTAGACCTCTCCGAAGAGCTCATCCCCGCTATTGTTGAGCTAGGGGCAGCCGCCGATTCCCAAGAGCACCAGAAAGAGCTAAATGGAGCTATCTTGAAGCGTCTCCGTTCCGAAAACGCCGCAGTCCGGCTTGCAGCGGTTCAGTGTGAGCAGGCACTGACAGACAAGCTTGGCGAGGAGTGGTTAGCCATGCTACCAGAAATGCTGCCATACATCAGCGAGTTGCAGGAAGATGACGATGAGGTTGTTGATCGGGAGACCCATCGCTGGATTGTAAAGATTGAAAGTGTCTTAGGAGAAAGCCTAGACTCCATGTTACAGTAAAGTATAGGCGACAGGGATAGTTGGCGTCGCATTCTGAGGCGTATAATGAACATTACTCATATCAAAACGTTCAGTAAGATGCTGGGTTGTTTCACAGTGACTGAGAAATCGGTGTAATACCGAAATGATAATGCCCTCGTGATCTCTAAAAATGGGCTTTATGCCTCAAGACCGGGTGAGCCGGTAATGCCAAGCGGGCAAGTAACGCCCCCCTAGAATGGCCGTAACAAGTAACACAGGGCGGGCGCATCTGATCCACCGCAATCTCAGCCTCATGACGGTCCCGATACCTTACGTGAGGTCCGCTTTACCGGGCGTGGGTACAGGCCAGTCATTTTGGCGTGGCGTACAAGAGATGCTCATTCCGGCGGATTTTCGTTGGGGCGAGTCAGATCCGTACCACACCCTGTGACGCCCGACTTACATCACTGACAAATGTCAATGATTATATTCGCGAATTGCGAAATACTGCAACTCCGCTCTGCCAAAAGGGTTTTTAATAGGACGGGGGATCGGGGTGGATCTACATAAAAAAGAGAGATGTCTATATTTTGCCTTTGCATCACAATAGGTGGTACTCCGGTGACAATGCAGTGTAAACCGCAATGGCACCGACATATTCAACGACATTCTTGGCCCGGAGTGGACTGAGCAGACCTATTAACCTCGGGAATGCATTTGTGACCTTGCAGGATGCATCATTGAGGAAGGTTCAAAGCCGTGGCTTTGCTACTGCATTACTGAAGCAGGATGATGGTGAGTTGTCTCTTCCTAGTTGCAGTTGTTACCCGGCATGTGAAGAAATAGGGGTCTAGCACGACCTCTTCACATGTGATAGCCATGAAACAAAAGCCATAAGACAGCTCCCCAAAACCCATGACTCTGTGGTTGGTAGGCGTAGATGTGAGGCCTAGATCTGCTATCATGACAATTGCAACCCCACAGTCTAAAAGGTCAATTTGGGAAGTTTTGGCTAAACTGTTAGCAGGCAAGAAGAAGGAAAGAGTCCTGATCCTCGGATCTGGCTGGGCAGGCTATGCGTTTGCTAGGACTCTCGATCCCTCGAAGTTCGAGCGCATCGTAATCTCGCCACGCTCATACTTTGTGTTCACACCGTTGTTGGCATCCACTGCAGTTGGCACTTTGGAGTTCCGCGCTGTGTTGGAGCCCATCAGAAGGCTCAAGGGTGCCAGATTCCACCAGGGGTGGGCGGATGACATCGACTTCGCGAAAAAGGTTGTCCGTGTCGAGGAGAACAAGGCGGATGATATGTCCAGTCGGACTGTCGTGCCGCCGCCACCGACAAAATCAGGAGACTCAGCATTGACCGAACCGGCACGGCTGCCGAAGGGCCCAACCATTGATGTTCCCTACGACAAGCTCGTCATTGCCGTAGGCGCATATTCTCAGACTTTTGGTATCGAAGGCGTACGGCAACACGCCCATTTCCTTCGGGACATTGGCGACGCAAGGCGCATCAGGCTCCGCGTGCTCTCGCTGTTTGAGCAATGTGCAAGCCCTGCAATGCCAGAGGCAGACAGGCGGAAACTCCTGCATTTTGCCGTCGTCGGTGGGGGCCCTACGGGCATAGAATTCGCGGCCGAGCTCCACGATCTCGTGCACGAGGACCTAGCAAAGCTCTACCCGGAGCTCATGCCGCTCGTCAGAATCACCGTGTACGACATCGCGCCCAAGGTATTGCCGATGTTCGACCAGGCGCTGGCGAATTACGCAATGGACACCTTCAGGAGGCAGGGCATCGAGCTCAAGACTGAGCATCATCTGCAGCGAATCCGACCGGACGAGGACGGCAAGGGAGGACTGAAGATGAAGATCAAAGAGTACGGCGATGAAGAGATCGGCGCTGGTATCGTTGTCTGGTCCACAGGCCTCATGCAGAACCCCTTGGTGGAAAAGCTCGTACAGAAAACACTTCCACTGCCACCACGTCAGGACGGCGAGGTGCCGAAAGGAGACACAGCTGAGTACCGGCTGGAAAAGGATCCTAAGACAGGAGGTATCATCATAGACTCACATCTTCGTGCCAGAGTCACCTCAACTACAGGGGAAACAGCGCGGATACTTCCCGACACTTTCGTCATCGGAGACTGTGCCGTTGTTAACGAAGACAAATCCTTGCCTAAAACGGCCCAAGTCGCCTCTCAAGAGGCACTGTACCTAGCCAAGGCGTTCAACAAGGGCAACCTCGACGAGAAGCCTTTCAAATTCCATAATTGGGGCACGATGACCTACCTGGGGAACTGGAGAGCCATTCACCAGAGCAATGCGGACGAGATCAAGGGACGGGCAGCGTGGATTCTGTGGCGAACGGCTTATCTGACGAAGAGTATGTCGATACGTAATAAGGTCAAGATACCTTTTTACTGGTTGGTCTCCTGGATATTCGGACGTGATGTTTCGCGCTTCTGAACGGGAGTCAGGTACAACGGGTCGTAAATTCGATCTTACTGGGACCGATAGCTGTATTTTATAGACATAGACAAGGGCAAGGATGCGTGGCATAAGATTGAATTACAGGAGTTAGATGTACATTGTTCTACCTACCTGCACATGTCTCGGGCAGCATTTCTTAGTGTAAGCTGTATAATCCCCCTCTGATATCGGTGTCGTATAGATGAAGCTCAGTAGTGATCCAGCAAGTGGCCCCACCACTTTTCCTTCTTCCTATCCTTGCTTGTTTCTTACTAGACTCGTTCTGTCTTATCCCGGGAGAAAGGCCCAGAAACGTGACGTTCCGGGGATGCCAGCGTTCCTCACAAGATATACCAATGTCTCAAGGCAGCGTACGTTCACCGACAGTATACTCCAACAATATAGGATCGACATTCAAGGATAGAGGCTGACAGACGAATGAAGATAAAAAACATATCTTGTCGAAAGGCTTCCGATGGAAAAGATGCCGTCGTCAGGTGAGACAAGAAAGGCTGTTTATAGAGCAATGGTCGGGTATTGAGGCGACTACAACTCTTCATCGATTTCCATGGCATCACTCTCACCAGCCTGTGCTGTTAACTGCAGGTACAGATCCAGAGACTCACGCAACGCAGGGTTCATAGAGTTTTGCAGTGCGAGCGTTTCAGTCGAGGTATGCTGCATGGTAGAGCTGCCGAAACCGGTGGTAGTCTCAGATGCGGAGTTGGACTGGGGGATGTTCGGGCCGGAACCGCCAAATCCAGCATGTTGATTGTGAGGGTCATTGATTGTCGGGGGAGAGGTAGAGGCTTGGGTATTCGTTGCAATCTGCGGTTGATCTGCGTCCTGATAAAAGCCTTCGTATCTGGGGTTAGCTTGATCTAGATCCACTGTGTACGTAGTCATAGTCGAGTCAATACCGTCAGAGGAGAATGACTGAGGTGTTGCACTTGCGAATCGTGAAGTCTGCAATCCCTTTGATCGTTTCTCCTTGACAGGTGCGTCGTCAGGAACAAACTCCAGCTCATCGTGGGGGTCCTGGTAGAAGCCCACGAACCGTCCCGATTTGACTGGCTGAGAATCCATAGAATTATCAACCTGCTGACGTTTAGGACGAGGAGCCTCATCAACTGGCGCCGCTTCGGGATCTGCGAATCGAGAAGTTCCGAGACCGCGCGAGTAGGCCGTAGTGCTGGCGTTGCTTTTCTGAGCTATTGTGATGTTAGTCTTGCTGATTGAAAGCCACAGAAAAGCTGAATCGGTTGAAGTATATCCTCTTTCTTACCATTCATCGACCTAGCCGTGCCATAGTTATTGCTACCCTCGGATCCAGTAGAGAGCTGGCCAAACGTCACACTTTGGTTGAGACTGCCACTGCTGAAATTGTCAGGATGGGAGGCATTGCGAGCACTGGGGTTTCGCTGGTTGATCCTGGCACGAGTAGCAGGCGAATTCACGTATCCGCCAGCACGGCCTCTGGTCGCAACGTTTCCGCCTCGACCACGAGTGCCACTTCGATAAGCAGTATCCTGATGGCCTGCCCGTGGGGTGGTAGCTGAGAGCTGCGTGCGAATATTGGCGGCGCGAGCACGACGCGATCCGGACCCTCGTCCAGATCCACGGGGGGCATCAGCGCGAGTCGAGAATGAGCGTTGCAGCTCCCTCGCGGCCGCCAGCTTGTCTGCATCGCCAAAATTGGACATGATGAAGGCGTATGGAAGAACGGCGTTGATTATGGAGGGAGGAAACGGTGCGCGGAGTAGGGCTGTTGCGGCAGTGGAAGGAGCTTAGGGGTAAACCTCGCACTGGGACCTTGGGAGAGTAGAGCTCGGGGAGTCGAGAGAAGACGGGGGAAAGACGTGCGAGTGTTACTTTCGGAGAATGATCTGAGAAGGGAAAGACATCTGTCCCTTTAGACGGCGCCTGGTTATGTCGGTGAAACCTCAAAGGTGACTGATTCTCTGAAATACAGAAGCAGGGCGTTCCGTAATATCGGTGGAAAGAGAAAGAGCCCGAGGACGAGACTCGGAGGAGATCCAAAACAAAAACAAGAAGGTACAAGAAAGAAAAGGAAATGGGTTGGGGAACGGGCCGTGTCCAGGGTTGATGATGTCGTTACTGAAGGAAGGGTCGATCCAGGAGCGGATGGTTAAGAGAGGCAAGGAGACCATGCCTGTCCAACATCTCAAGCTATTTGTGACAAACGATCATGCACCCATATGATGGTGATTTGATAATCTTCAGCCTAGAAGTAGACTATGATTGTGAACTTGGAATATGTACAGACTAGAACCAAGGGGTCTCAAGCTGAAGAGTGTATGCTTTGTCGCCTTTGTATACGTTTGAATTTCGACCCTCTCCTAGCCCCATGCGCAGCCTTAAGCTCGGATTTTCCCTGCTCACTGATTCCAGGACCCTAAGATGATATATCATATCAACGGCAGTCTCTCAGGCTGAAGGTATGAGTTCCCAAGCTTCTGCTTGTCAGCCGGATATAAGCCCGGTCTGAGTATGATGACACTTACCACTCGCTCATAAAAAGTCTCTTCGTGGATCTGGACTTTCGTTGATTGTAAGATTTTCCTGTTGATGGATAATCTGCGACCAGGCGCTGACCAGCAGAGTCATGCTTTCTTCTGTCGTTTGGTACCAACTGTGGTTTGTACGCTGTTGATCTTTGTCTCTCGAAATTCGGCATTTCGCGCTTCCTGTAACCACTGAACCTCAATTGGAGAGACATGATTGCGAACAAAGTCGATTAGTGGTTTCGACTGAGGCGCCCCTTCGCGCAAAGCAATACTCGAGACTCGCGGAATACCGAGACACGAACTGAGTCGGTCCTCGCAGGCTTTTGAGAAGCCAACTAACCTGGTTGGCGCATCGTGATGCCGGGTGTCAGAGGCCACAGCTACCATCTGCGGTAAATGGTTATGGAGAGTTGATGGCTGCCCTGAGCGGGCGATGAAGACGATAGAATATGAAGGGGGTTGGGCTTTATCGTCAGCTTCCTTGCCTTGGCCTTGCTCCTCTAAAGTGTGCTCCTGAGAAGACCGTTTCTCCAAAGCCCTTGTGATGCGTGCCAAGCCGATATCTACGAAGGCAGCTACTTCGGGAGCTGGTGGTATCGGCTGCTCGGCTTGATCTCCCTCCCCCAGCTTCCTTTTCTTGGGCCGGCTACGCTTGCCCTTGGATGGAGCTTGGTGGAGTTTTCGATGCTGACCTAAAGGAGCAAGCAGACTGACGAGCAAAATTAGCACTGTGCGAGGTTCCAAGAAGAGAAGATGATTCAACATACTTGCAGAGGAGTTCCAAGATTGCGTCTTGGTCTTCTTGAGAAATGGATGGCCTGGACTTCTATTAGACTTCATTGCACTTTAAGGTTTCATTCATGCGATGACACTGACCACTGCACCGCCGAATAAGGAGTGTCTAACTGATGGACAATCTTCTTCTTCTCCATTGTGTAAGGTATGCCAGGATATTTACTCCTTTCGATGCACCAGAGATCTTGGGTTGAAGTGTTGTCGATTGCTAGTGTTGGTAGAATGAAAATTTGGATCTAGAAGTCAACGCATATCAAGCTACCGTTGCTAGGTACCTAGATAGATCTTCCAGTACCTAGGTAGTCTGGTTGGAACTTGCTTCACCAAGCCGTGCAAGTGACTCGTACTATATTCTTACGAGCACTGTCTTTCCAAAACCGGGAGCGCTTTGAGTTCCAGTACGAGAATTCCGATTAGCAGTGGAAGCGTGCAACAGTTTGGTAAGGTACGGTACGGTATGTATTGTACACTTTTGGGGATGTACCTACCTAGGTAGGTAGAGAACGGGCGGGAAACACTGGGTAAGGTCTTGGCGGGGCCGTGAGCCTGGAGCCTGGGTCCCGGTCGAACGCTGATCCGCTAGAGGACGAGCTTAGGCGCGGTGATTAGCGTTCCATGGCGCCGTACGGTGCCTGGTTCATCATGACGTCTCGGCTGGGACAGCGTTTCATTGACATGCTACAGAATGACAGTGGTGACAATATGGGAGCTAGAGCTAGAGAAGGACTCTTAACCAGGTTTGATTGTCCACAGAGTAGCCACTGACCAGAGAGTTTGTGTGGTTTGAGAACCTCATGCACAAGGCTGAGTGATAGGCTTGCCTGATCTGCCTGCAAGATCTATTGTCCGTTACGATGTCTTTCTATTGCATTTCTGTTTTATCTGTAAAGGACATGACCGACCTAATCTGCGCAACTCTTTTGCTCTACACAGATCATGGTAGTCGTGAAACTCAGAGCAGCGTCGCGGGGAGTTTGGTACCCTGTCCATAGACTGACGCGGGGGGTTGCCGTATGGGGATGGAGCTGGCGGCCTACTGTGGACTAACAGGACGTCAAGAGGACTCAATTAATTTTTGGCTGTTCTTACGCAGTGGTCAACGTAGCTAGCCCGCCCCATTAGATAGAGCGCGTGCTGGACGCGTCGGGCGTTGCGGGGTTGATTCAGGGCGCTGCTAATCAGTGCCTGTCAATTGAATTGACCCCAACTCGACTCAGTGGAGCGAGCCAACAGTTCGAAAACCCCCGGTTCTAGGGTTTTTGTTCTCGTCCTGGGCGCATGACACAGCATTTCAAAATCTCTCCAGCTAGCAACCCTATCAATAGACACCTAAGAATCGAGCGGCTTACTTGATGGATGTTCTAACAAAGAAACGTTTGTTTGGTTTAGAATTCGATGACTCTTGGTTGGCCAAGCCCCTCCCACTCAATTCTGTGGCAACCCGACGAATCAATTGTAGACGAGCCCTGTGTAGGAAACGAGGGACATCTCAGTGTAAAGTACCCAGGTACCTACAAAGATACATCCTGAGATGACTACCTAGGTAGTTGCCTTCTTTGCAGCCTTCTTTTCTCAACAGCATCTGCTGAAGACCGGGAAAGTCTAAAGAGATGAATGGTGTGTGTGTGTGTGTGTGTGTGTGGTAGACAAAGCGGCTCTAAGTGGCCAATATCGTTCATATCTTCGCCGACCGTATCTTATTCTCTAGCAAACATTGAACCCGTGCCTCGTGTCTTCTAGCATCGACCTCCGGTCCACAGACAAACACCATATCAGCAATACATACGATTGGGTTCCGTCTCAGAGCAAAGTAAAGACACAGGAGACCAGTTTGCGATCTAGGGGCATAGGTAGTCAGTCATTGTTGGTTGACAGCTGAAACGGTAAGTGAGGTCAGAACATCTTAGTAATTCGACTCACACCCCTCCCCCTCCCCACCGCGTCATTGTCCCACCCCCACCATGAAGACCTACCTACCTTAGGCAGGCTTCTGCCGCCCGCCCGCCGAGAAACACAAGCTTGCAGTATCTACTATCTACACAAAGCTTCCTTTGAGCTTCCGACACTCCCCTCTTCGATCTTCTCATTCTCTCTCTCTCTCTCTTTGATGCAGGCGGTCAAGGCCACTTTGCACACACGCCAGCAGAAGATTCCCTTTTGAATCCACCTCTGTTTTCCACAGTTTGGCGGATTCTCTTGTGGCACTCGCTAGAGCCTGTATCTGACCTATCTCACCTGCCTGCAACAACAACCTTACCTTGGAGCCCCACCAACCAACGGGTACCTCACTTGACATCGCCAGTACTCACCTACCTACCGCACTGTCTCGTCTTTGAATTTCTGGACCGTGGCTTTCAGCCTTGTGACAAGACCACCAAACCCCACCCTTCCACATCGAGGCACTCTCCATACGCACCATTATTCTTCCCTTCTACCTATCTGCCTCGCACTGTTTTCTCCCCCCGTCTTCTCCTCTGGGTTTTGTCTTTAGTCTCCTCCCACTCCTCCACACATGCTAAACCTTGGGAGATCAAGACAGAGCTGCCGCCGAGCTGTCTCGTGCGTAGCTGCCTCGTCTCTGGGCCTCCAGGCATCCCGCAATACCCACCCGCACCAGCCAGATGGACCAAGCTTCGAGATCCCCCGCCGAGTCGAGAGAACGTGCTGTCTCCTCTGAGCCTTGCTCAACCCGACCCAACCCTTTCGATGATCGCGAACTCTCCTCCATCAAGCGCCGTCGCACCTCTCTCAGCGGAACTTCTGGCGGTGCCTCTGCCTCTGCCTCTGCCTCCCGCAGCCGCTCCGTCGAAACCGTCCACTCCACCCAAGACTCCCAGACCGATTCGAGACCGGGGCCACAGGAAGACGCCGTCATGATCATCGACTCGGATTCCTCTGCCCCGCATACTCCTGAGCACCAACAGGCAGACCCATCCGAACCCCCCTCCGAACCCAAGTCAAGTAAAGTTACCATAAACCTCCGCAATGCACACCAGACCCTAGAGACAATACCATCCTCGCCTGTCTCGCCCACGGGTACCGCTGCAGAGTCCCGCGACCCTCAAGAAGACATTGTGAAGGCCAGTGTGGAGGATTCGGAAGCAGACATGCAGCCAACGGATCAGCCCCCGGTCGCTTCCGCTACAAGTGGCTCGGATCACGGCAGCCCTGCCGTAGAGATAATCGATATCGAGCCTGACGAAGATGAAGGACTCGGTGTGGATGACCCACGGGTAACCTTACTGCACGGACTACAGGGAAGCATGCTGTCAGATCCGACTGCCGACTTTCCTTATCGAGACAATTTGGAGCATCTGCCGGACTCGGTCTCGAAATTGGAGTCGTTCATCACAACCCGTCAGTTGGCCCGTACTTTCCTAGATATTTTGCTACCATTCCGGATGGCAATGATGCTTACAGTTATTAGACGATGAGGTAGCTTCTCGACTCCGGCAATATATTGAGAACTACTTGATTTGGGCTCGGAGCAGTGATTATTTCACCATGTACAGTTCATATCAGCAGTTTCGAGGGATCTGGGGAACTCTTCCCGGGCTGATATGGACCTCGGCATGTCGAAAGTATGCACACTGACAAACCCTCGTAAAGGAATATACTAACATTCATATAGGGTGTCGACTAACCGTCATCCACACCTTCCGGAGCTCATTGCCGACCTTCATTGCTCATTCGCGAAGCTGACTGCTTGGTTCGTGGAAGTCGACCTTAAGACTCTTCGACAATCTTCGTCGACTCAAGACACTCGCCTTCCAGACCTGGCGTCCCCGGCCTATATCAACTGCCTTGCACTCCTTACCCAGAGAGATGAGATGCAGCTGCAAGCCGAGTACTTGCAAGACCCAGATTGGGATGACCCGACAGCTGCCCTGACCAGCTTCAACACATTTCATCAGGCCCACGGCGGAACATTTCTGCATCTGCTCCGGCTTACACAGGCGCTGGCAGCTATCATCCCACGATTTCCTAAGCTCGTTGACGGCTTTGGTGGCATCGCTCTTCTTGTGTCTAACTTCCTAGGGGAAAGCTATCGCAAAGCCCAGCTGTCCTCAAATTTTGGCTCCGCTGCTGAGCAGGTGAAAATGAAATCCTCTTTTGGACCTCAATTCTACCAGATACTTTCGACCACTCTATCGACGTGTATAGAGAAATATGTCAACCACCTGACGTCTGACAGTACCTTGAAGCAGATCAACGGTCTAACGGAGATCATGCGATATACCTTACAAGGCGAGCATGCTATGGTGACGGACGCATTGGCTGATCATCGACAACGGAATGCGGCCATCTCTCCTCAGTCCACCGCAGAGGTCATGGCCTATGAATGGCGCTTCAACACATTCACCAAGCTCATCATGTCCAGCCAGATGCAATTAAGAGTTATGGCTGTTACTCAGATGTGTTTAGACCTTGTCAATCTCTGGAAGAAGTATAACGAGAATATGCACGAGCCGCAAAATCGTGCTGTGCTTATTTACTTCTCTGATTTCCTACAGAAATCAGGACTGGTTACCTACATCCTGGGCCCAACCTGCCACCCAGAAATTACCATTGAGAGCGGCAACATTATCGGCTTCCTCCTCGTGACCCAGACCTACACGCATGAGCTCACGGATCTCATGTGGCAGACAGTAACCTCTAGCCAGGATCCTAGAGTAGCCGATGCCCTGGTGCGCATGACGACTCGCGTAACAAACTTGTGGACATACGACAACATGGTCTATCTGTGCAGCAAGATTCAGTCTCTGCCCATTGAGGCTTTCAGTCCGACTCTACGAGATCTTTGTGACGCTATCTTCAAACAATTGCTGGAGAAGGCTTTCGAACGATCCGTCAGCGACAACTTCCCCTACTTCCTATGCGCACGTCTCATCAAGGAGTCTTCTGCATTTGGAACGCCATCGGCCCCGATAGCCCATGTCGACATACAACATTTTGCAATGACAAGATTCGGCGACATGCTAAAGCAGCATCCACCTACCCCGGAAGCCAGGAAGGAGCTCTATCGCTCCTGCATACAAGACCTTGCAGACAAAGTGCCGTATACCCTGGGAAGCCTATGGGTAATCGCAGTGCTGAGCCGCCCATTTCTTGCCAGAGAGCTTCAGATGCTAACGGCGGACTACGGCTTGACAAAATTGCTCGTTGATGAAATGGAGCATGCCATCGCTTCGGGGAAGGAGGCCGGCTTTCCATGCGTAATCAGCGGCCAGGTCAACACGCCACGACGGGATCTATGGTCAGGCATCATACTTCAACATCCGGGTACGATTACGGAAGATCTCGGACCTCGACTATGGGACATGCTTGTTGGCCCAAGCGCCGGCTGCCAGGAAGATCGATTTGCAGCTTGGCATGTTCTCAACGCGTCTCTTAGGAGGAGTCGACTCAATCCTTTCCTGCAAATGTGTTCGGTGGACTATCTCCCGAGTCTCCCACCTGACTGCTTCTGTCCGGGCGCTCTCGAGTTTGTCCTGGAGGGCATATTGCCGCCTCTCAATGAGCCTCATAACATTCTTCTCGACGACGAGGATAGTCCTGTGCGATCGGGGATTGAACAACTATGGCGCTTAATCTTGACTGCACCCGAAAACACAATTGAACAGCGAGCTATTCAAGCCCTTGTCCGGGACGTCTACGTGGAGAGCAGGTCGATCCAGTCGCTGCCTCATCACAGAGCGCGCAAAGTGCATCTAGCGTTGGTCACTCGCTGTTTGAATCAGCTATCCGCCGCTGCAAGGAAGTTGAAGGCTTTTAGTGACGGCACAACAAGCGGTGATGATGAGCCCATGGTTATTGTTGCGACAGATGTGCAAGTTCAGGAACAAGAGCTTCTCTTTGTTCGATCTCTTGCGGTGATCCGGGAGTTTCTCAAGCTTCATCGAGTCAAAGCTCAATTCGCAAGTCCTGACATGAGATCACTGATCTTGCCAGCATCAAATGATGTAGAGGGAGAGTCGGCGGAGCTTAAGTATCAATCATTTGACGGCGATAAACAGACTGACGTTAGGCCTCTCGCTATAGGCATACGAAACACAGCCGGTTCTCTACTAGCCAGTCTGCGTGACGCCACAGGATTTGACAACTACCGTATCTACTACAAAGGCCAACCGTTTGTGCCGATGGAGCGAGACATCTGCAAGTCTTTGGAGGATCTCCAGATTCACAATGGTCTGATACTGGTCAAGCGAGAATCCGACGAGGTCCCATCCCCGGCTCGGATGCGGCCTGGCTCCTCGCCCGTTGAGATTGAAATTCTGGCTCATTTCGAAGAATTGTGGGACTGCCTGAGCATGGAGGAGAAGTTGGCGAATGAGGTGTGTGAATGTCGCTCAGTGGTTTGATCGATAGCCTTGACGTGTTGCTGACATCTGCATTAGATCTACCAATTTCTAGTCAAGTTACCTTTGGATGAAGGCATTCTCCTAGCATTTCAGACGGAGCCGACAGCTCACAAGGACGTGTTCCCGGTCGGCCAGCCGTTCAAGTCTCTTTATGCGATACATGCGCTACAGGAATACCTTCTGTCTCAATTTCATCAGGCAAGATCGGAAGTAGATGAGAGCAGTCAAGTCACCATTACTACTTACTCTGATGCTCTACGCCGTGCCTTATCTTTAACAGTTGCTGCGATCTCTGATCATGAGGTAATTGGGCGAGGATGTAGTGCAGATCTGCAAGTCTTCCTGAGTGTCAAGCTTGTGGAGACACTTGTGAAAGTCTTGACAGGTACGCCACTACTCTTGTTCCCAGCTCTTACCGAGTCACACTGACGCTTTTCAGATCCATTCCGGCCTGAAAGTCTCTCGAACTATCTGGACAAGCCTCTCCTTGACCGCTTGTTTGAGATTCTTGCATCTTCATTAACATCGAAGTCCATCGAAAGCTCTACGAAGCTCGCCAACTGTACATTTCAGGCCATCCTCGAGTCATGCTTGGTGAGTAGAGAGGCGTGGGATGAATTCTGTCGACATCCCAGTGTTGGTGAGGTTATACAGCAAATCTTGCTTGATGATCCTCGAGCAGTTGTCCGAAAGCATACGCTAAAACTACTGGGGGAGAAGATTGCTTTCTTTGATAGGTAATGAAACCACGAGGACACACGAAGTCGATGTTGTTGCTAAACTCAGGTTTTGCAGTTCTTCATTAGTTCGATCGGAAGATTTCCAAGAATTCCTCTGGCCGATCGTGTTTGGCCTGATTCCTGCAGCTCTTGACCAGCCCAAGACTTGCGAAGAAACCTTCAGCCTCGTCCTAACGACGTACAAGTCTTTGAGAAGGACAGAATCTCCGGTTCTTGATCTTCCAGATGTGGTTCAACGCTGCAGTGGCTGGCTATTGAAATACGTCACTTATGAGGTATGGGGTTCTATCTCTTGACTGAGACATCGAGCGCTAACCCTCAGGATTCGAAGGATATCACACAGCCAGATATGGTTGATGTTGCAGCCTTCGGGCTGGTCCGACTGTTCCATTGCATCGTTTGCTCAGATGAGTATCCAGTCGAGTCTGAAATCTACCCTGCGAGGTAAAACCCGCTTCCGAAACTTCTTCTGTGTGTTGCCTGGCATACTGACAAGACCAGGGACTTTGTCAGGAAGCTCTTTTGGCGGCACCTGTTCCCCCGGTTCTCTAGCCGAATGGAAGCATTGCCGAAAGTCATCCTAAACAATCACACTAGGACCATGTTGATTGAGATTATCTTTGCCCTCGTAGAGCAAGATCGATCGCAGATGAAGTGGCTCCTAAATGACCTCAATAAGTTGGTGCCATTCGACGATCGTGAAGACGGTATGTGCACCGATGATTTCCTCGGGAATGACATGACGCTAAAATCGTTGATAGACGAACCTTACATTTACGAATTGCCTCAACAGTTCGAGAGGTCCAAAGCTATTCGATCCTCTTGTGGCTACGTTGGATTACGAAATCTGTCGAACACATGTTATCTTAACTCGCTCTTTACTCAACTGTTCATGAACACCGGTTTTCGTCGTTTTATGCTTAATGCTGAAGTCAGAGATCCGCAATACGGCCAGACTCTATTATTTTACACCCAAAACTTGTTTGGGTTTCTCCAAGGGAGCATTCGGCGCTTCGTTGATCCGACTAATTGTGTCAGTAGTATCAAGACTTACGACGATACCGCTATCGACATCCATAATCAGATGGATGTCGACGAGTTCTACAACCTTCTATTTGATCGTTGGGAAGGTCAATTGCTCTCCGCAGAGGCAAAGCGTCAGTTCCGATCATTCTACGGCGGACAGCTCGTGCAGCAAGTGAAGTCGAAAGAGTGTGAGCATATCTCGGAAAGACTGGAGCCGTTCTCAGCCATTCAATGCGATATCAAGGGGAAGAACACACTGCAAGACAGTTTGCAGGCCTATGTGGATGGCGAGATCATGGAAGGAGACAATAAGTACAAATGCTCCACCTGCGACCGACATGTCGATGCTGTAAAGAGGGCGTGTCTCAAGGACATACCAGACAACTTGATCTTCCATCTCAAGCGCTTCGACTTCAATTTGCGGACACTCCAACGAAGCAAGATTAATGACTACTTCGCATTTCCTAACCGCATCGATATGCGCCCATATACCATCGAACATCTGAGCAACTCGACCGAGGATCTGCCGAGCGACATTTTTGAGCTCGTCGGCGTGCTTGTTCATTCCGGAACGGCAGAGTCAGGACATTACTACTCATACATTCGGGAGCGCCCAACAGCAAACAAGAGTGAGACATGGGTCGAGTTCAACGACGACATCGTCACATCCTGGGATCCTGCTCAGATGGAAAATTCTTGCTTTGGTGGACCCGACTACCGACCTCCTTTCGACGCCAATGGCATTGTTTACGAGAAGAACTACAGCGCATATATGCTCTTCTATCAGCGTTCTTCATCACTTCAGAAAGAACAGGATGAACTGCTCGACTCCAAACTACCGAGCCCGCTTCACGTCGATATGCCCGAGCCGCTTGCCGAGACCATTTTAGCAGAGAATGCGTCCCTTCTCCGCAGACATTGCATCTATGATCCAGCGCACATCAGATTTGTAGACCTAGCCGTGGAACAAGCACGAGCCCTTGAGAAGGGGATTTGCTCTCTTGACCACGTGATGGAAGACATGGCGATCGAGATGGCTCTTAGCCACCTTGACCAAGTCGCATCTCGCACGAAGGATGTGCCTGACTTCCGAAAGCTCTGGTCTCGGATCCAAGAAATGTGCCAGGATTGCAGCAAATGCTGTCAGGCAGTCTATGAGTACTTTCGCGATCGCCACGAGGTGTTGAAGATGCTTGTGCAACGAAACCCGGAGCCATTCGTTCGCCTTGAGAGCGGCTACTTGCTCATTCGAGCTCTAGAAGGTATCAAAGAAGACTATCCTGATACATATTGCATTCCAGCGAATATAAGGGACGAAATGGAGTGCAATGGCGAGGACAACCTCGATGTTGTTCATCATGTCGCACTAATGTTCAGGAGCTTGTGGGATAGCTTCCATCAGGCCTTGCGGTCATGGCATGAAACATTCGGCTTGATGCTAGCCTTTGTCAAGTTAGGCCGCGCTGAGATGTCTGCATTTTTGGAACAGGACTACCTTCGAAAACTTCTCTACATCATCATGGCCGATACCCAGATGGAGCTACCACCTCAATACTCGCGTATGCTAGTCGCTGTCTCGCGTAGGATGGCAACCCGTCCTCCGTCCTACGAGAACATCATTGCGCTCATTGACACACTTCTCACCAACATGACTATTGAATATAGCGACCAGGGCGAGCTGCTCTTGCCTGAAGATTGCGATACGCGCATTGAATGGATGTTACTTGAGGAACAAGAGCCTTTGTATCTCACGAAGCCAGAACATATGGCTCTGCTCCGAGTCTGGGGTAGAGATCAGGCTAATATATTCGTGGACAAGCTGATCTCCATCAATCAGAACCATCCAGCCACAGACTCAATCATCACATATCTCTTGAAACGCAGCCGCCCGGCCGATTATAAGATCTATCTGACCTTGCGACTGAGTATCACTAGTCAAATTACAACGCATATCATTGCGCCATACCTGCGGGTGGCTGTGGTCTATTGTCGTGTCAGTCACAAACCAGACAACATCCACAATCTTATCCAATACGTCGCGGAGCAGTGTAAGACACTGCAAAATGGCGAAGGCAGAGCCTTCTTTGAATTCCACCGCGACGTATTCGATGGTGAGCGTCAAAACTCGGACGAGACGCTTCAGCAGGTCATCTTGCAAGGCCTCGGCAACATCTCAGCTTGGGCACCTGGTCTTCTTGGCTTCTATGACCCTATCGTTAGTGGCGAGGTTGAGAACTTTCTGCATGAAAAGGTCTTCAAGTTCGGCCGATCACCGGCATTTTCTGACGACCAAGGCGGTCAAGAGAGGTCAGCGGCCACGGACAACTGTGCCCGAAATCTCGGCGTGGAGTGTCTTTTGTATTTGAAGGAGAACTTTGTCAGACGAAACGCACCGGTGGCTAATCACCTGGTCGCCGCATTGCAACGTGTTGTGACACAATGCCAGAAGTATTACAACCTCGAAGACAATAGCGCGGATGAGCTTGATGAGGAGTTTGTCAGGCTGAGCCAAAGTAAGTAACGGGAAATATCCCAGAGTGACTTACCCTTTTGGTGGCTAACATTCAATGATAGGTGTCCTGCCAGCACTTCACAGGTTGACCGTGGAAGAGCTCGAGGAAGACGCCTCCGGTATGTTTTACAGCGATTCCTCCAGCGTCACGTCAAGCATCACGGCTTGCTGACTTTAAGCCGGCAAGACTGGGAGAACTCCTCTGCCGCGTCAGACCAGATGGACAGCATAGGCGACCTGCAGACTACGGGCGATCTAAACGATGTCGATATTTGATAGCACTCCCACCTCACCGGAGATGCTTTTACTGGATCCCAACGAAAGCCCCAGCAGAGGTGGACATATGAGTCTTGTTATATTTCTTTGTCCGATTACTACACCAAGAAGTCACTGCTCGCCGCAGAGAAGTGACATGTTTTGCTACGAAACCAACGCGAGCCTACGAGATATGAAAGGCTGGTACAGATACAGGATCTGGCTAGTGTGCATAATGACCAAGGGCGTTTCTTCTCTTTCTGGAGTCAGGATCTTGATCATTGTAGGGTGTTTGGCCCCCTCCATACAGACATGAGCGAGCGGGGACAGTCGCTTGCTGATTCCCCTTTCCCTCGACTCCCATTGCACCCTTTGGGTAGTGAGAGAGGTTCGGAACGGACAGGGGCTAGCTAGGTCGACCAGATAGGAGTCGACGTGTGTGTTTTTACCTGTCGAGAAAATTGCATAGGGAACGACGATAGATGACTCTAGCGCGGAGTTGACTGAATGAAAGACAACCTTCATGGCTACCCATTAACTTGCTTGCTTGTTTACTTACTTGCAGTCAGGTTGGCGACGAGTGCTGCTGATGTGTTTGTGACATAACAGAGCCCTCTCTCCTGATCGACGGGGGCATAGATCAGACTGCTACCAGCGATGGCGCCGATAGTACGACCGAATGTGGGTGTTTCATCTTGTTGATGATCGCTACAAAAATAGGTCGAGCACAGCAACGCCTTTTGCGTCGATAACCACTTTCTCTTAGCGCCGGGCCATCTTGCGAGGAAGAGAAGTGGCATCGAGTGTTTGATCATGATAGAACAAGTGATGTATTCTGCTGGGAGATGAAGAGTTGAGAGGGTCCAAGGTCGCATGTCCTACGACGAGGCCTAAAAAAAGAACGCCTCAAAAACACCCTCCAACTCGTCCCCGAAGCCCATGATTGCCTTGCCGCCCAGTACGGAAATATGTGAGTATATCTTCAAGATGTCAAGCCTGGAGCGCCGTGTGTGTTATTTGATTTCCGATCAGCGATGACGATTGGCCCGTCCGTCCATGCGGAGAAGTTATAATAAGTCAAATACTGACTCCAGGACATCCATGTCATCAGTGGCAGGGTGATTGGCCACGGCCAGACGTTTCTACTTGCGCAGGACATGAAGTGCCGGCCCAGGGACTGCTCACACGTGCTGGACAGGGTCGCGGCGCAGGGCAGAGTCCAATTTTGGAGAGATGGCCGTCGGATTGGGCCGTATGCGCAAGGACATATGGCTTGTTCAACAGACAATGGAAGGATAGCTACCTAGATTCAATTCTATTCCAGGCACAAAGGAGAGGAGGTGGG